TATCTATAACATGTATTACTATTATACACATACAATGTGCTTCCTACTCAAATCATTAACCAAAAAGCTACCCTAAAAAACTAGAGGTGCTTGGAAGATTGTCAAGAATGAGAGAGGAGAAATGATTCAAGCCTGAAGACTTGTGTTTTTTATCTACATCTGCCTCATATTGACATTATACATTGACCAATGCTCCTCCATTCTTTTTACTTCTTTTAATAAAACATTTTCTTTTTTCGTTTTGCACCAGACTTGCTTCAACCATGAAAAGCTTCTTCTCAAGTTCTTCAATAACTCCGGGTAATTTTTTGGAGCAAATCCTTATTTTTTTTATCTACTATACCTTCTATCATACCGGGTACATCCACCAAATGCTCATCAATTTGCTTGAAGCATTCTGCTCATTTGACATCACCAATTTTTTATATCTGCCTTTTATCATTTTAGTCACAAACAAAAGATTGAAGAATTACAAGGCCTCCTCCTCCCCCGATATGTAAACGCCCGTGAACTTCAAGAACACCTTCTGAAAACTTGTTTCCTTGTTTGCAATTCGGGATTTATACCATGATTTTGTCAATTTTAGTGGATGGTCTTTCTCTAGCTTTACTAACTTACTCACAACTTCCTTAAAAAAACTTACTCACGACTTACTCTATCCTCGGGTTTCATAACCCATTACCATGCACATGAATAAATGTGTATTAACATTAAAACAAATAATTTAAATTGCTCTCAAAGGATTTTTTTTAAAAAAATAGAATCGTATGTAATTACATTGTAATCTCTCATGTTGTTTATGACCCATGCATTGAAGGAGCTTAAATATTTGAGGGGTAAATATTTAATAGTAAAAATGTAAAGATTGAGTTCAATTGAGGAGGCTAAGGGAGTTGAATGGGTGGAGGTGGAAAGTATTATGATGCAGAGATTGAGTTAGATAATTAGTACTAATCCCTTCTAATTTTACTTAATGATCAAGATAAAAATCTAATTCTTCATTTTCATTTCACTAAATGCACTACACTAAATTAAATCTTTTAGGTTACATTCAGACAAAGTCATTCTCAATGTATTTCATTCATCCCTTTTTACATAAAATATCTAACTCAATTAGTAATAATTAAATGGATCTATTAAATGCATCATGTATATACATAAGAAATAGTGAGTGCAATATTATTAAAGAATTTGTGAATGAAAAATATGTATGTTTTCTCAAAACACTAACTGTATTCAATTTTTCCCATTGTCATCCGTCCCAGTTATTCGGTCTCACACCCCAAGTGGCGCATGAGATGATGTCATAACTCATAAGTAATTGCAATGTATCACTAACGAAGTCACATGTGGTTGCACATATTTAAAAGTTTCACATCCGTAGTTTTTGAGAACTTTAAAAAATGTCACATTTTATGTTCATGAGTACTATTTTAGTAATATTTGAAAAAATCTATATAAAATGTATTTTAGATAATTATTGGGGGTATTAGAAGTAAAGTGCTTCGCAATATAGCAATTTATAATTAATCACCATACATGTTAACATGATCGGTAAGACTTTAAGAGAAAATTATCAAGTAAGCTCTTTACTATATAAAAACAATAATTAAACTCTCATACTCTAAAATCACTCAATTGAACCACCGAAATCATTAAAAGCACCCAATTCCTCCATTTTGAAGGTTGCCATCCGATTTATCAGGTTATATAAGCTGACATGGATGTATTTGGCCATTCACATGTATTGTTGGCGCTTAATATAATAGACAACCACATAGTCTTTCTTTTCTCTTCAACTTAATTTGCTTTATTTAATTTCTAAGTCTATATTTCATTTCCTATGGCAATGTTATTTCACTCCACCCACGCTCATCCTACTCACCATTATAGCTCTGCCCTCGTCTTTTAGCCGCTACACCTTGAAGTAACAAGGATTAGGTGGGAAATGACTCAATGAACATACTCCGTATTTATTAAGCTCATGTTTCAAAGAATTCAACTAACCCTACTCCACTTTACCTTCTCTTGAATATATCACATATGTTGTCTTCTTTCAACAATTTATATCTTTCATATATTTTTCCTTTGATTCCTTCATCTCATGATGTAACTTTTCAAGAGTAAAATTTAAAACTATGATGAAATCATGATTCATGAGGCGATTCTGATTTTCCAGTGCTATAATTGGAATTTGATTGGAGATGCAAACAACACATAATTGATTGCTTCAACTTGTTCGGAGTTTTTTTTTATAAATCTGATGCTTTAGTTGTGTTGAATGTGATGGCTTCGCCGACCTAGGGGTAGGAGAAACCGAGAAGGAGAACTGAAAAGTGCTAAGTATAGATTGAGTAGAAAACTTGACAGAGTAACAATAAGCTTGTGCGCAAGAATGATGATCCCTTTCACAAGTTGGAAGGTGATATTTATAGATTAAAATGATATATTTGGGGAGCAAGTAAAATCTGCTAGTCTAATAACATGTCAACACGTGTAAAGCTTGATTTGTAAGAGAAATTTGTACAACTGACTGAATGATACTGTAGATAACTGAATTGACCCCTTTTGTACTGGAATGCATAAGGAAGCCACACATATTTTACTCAGAATCTTCTATGCACAACTGCCTTGGTGACGTAAGCCCTAAACAGTTGTCGTGTGGATGACGTGATCACGGTAGTTATGCGAAACTTCATTGCTGAAATGACCAAGTCCCTAATCTTCTCTGAGATCCTTGGCTCCACAGAAGAAGTTGAGCTCGGGGGCAGTGTATTTATTTAAGAGGAGGGTGGCCTCAGTAATAATGTTCTCTTTATCTCTTTGACTTCGTGAGGGGCTAGTTGACCTCAAGCTCGATTATAGTGTCAGACTTTGGTGCTGACTTAGGTGGAAGGCGAGCTCGGCCTCAGATACAGTTTCGGACTTATCTCAATGATCTGAGAGTTGACTAAGAAATCGGGCTCGGCCTCAGATGTAGTTTCGGACTTAACCCGGTGATTTGAGAACTAACTTAGGAACTGACCTCAGTAGGCTCGGGCTCGGGCTCGGCTGGAAATGACTTAGCAGTTTCTGGTGATCCTTTATCCACAAATGTTGATACCTGTGAGGTATATGAGAATATACTTCATCAGAATGTTTTCTCCCAACCTTTTGGTATACTAAAATTGATTATGTTCGTCATCTTTATATGGATGGGCCCGGAGGTTCAGAGCTCATACGACAACCGACAAGGGAATAACAACACTCCAAGTATCATGCAGCTGATGAAGATGAAGAATCATCGATGACGTGTATCTGAGCTCCACCCTTTTTTGTCGTACTTTAGATTCTTTCGTCGGTTAAATAACAGAATCGATTACGACTCTCTTATCTTAATATTATTGACCAAAAAAAGAAAATAATTAATTCCAGATCATCGATCACGTCAGCACTTTATAGTTAATAGGCCAGTGACCAGTTAAAAGGGAGGGATTGGGTGTTTTTAATAATTCCAGGGTTCAATCGGATGATTTTGGAGTAAGATGGCTTAGGTTCAATTTCTGTTACAGTTTGGTAGTTTTCTCTATATTCGATCTTCAATTTTTTCATTTAAATAGGTTTCAATACAATTATTTTCAAATTACATTCACTATTATTTTTCATATTAGCTAGTATTATTATTATAGTGTATATGTATATTATACTATTATCCGTTTCTTTTTAGTTGCAAAATGAAAAATTGTACACTATTCAGATGCTTTACTTTGACTACATTTCATTCATTAATGTATGAATATTAATTTATTTGAAAAATATTATTGAAGTCGTCTCATTACAAACTTTCATAATCTGATTTTTATTTTTTTACTAATAGAGGACCAAATATAATAACACTCAAAGTTGTGTGTTCGCAAGCGTGAAAATGAGAATTTGGAATTTAAAAAGAACGGATGAAGTACTTATTATTACTATTATGACTATAATACTTCATCCGTTCTTTAATAAATGCCTCTTATTCCATTTTGATGTGTTTTTTAATATTTGTCATTTTTTCCATAGAAGGAAAGTTTTTGAGATCAATATCCCCATTTTTACAGTATTACGTTTACCCCTTTTACATTTACATACTACTTTCTCTTTTCTAAATTATCATTACTCTACTCTTCTTAATATACTTTCTTTCCTACTTTATAATCACTCTACTCTTATGAATATACATTTTTTCATATTTTATCATTTACCCTAAACAGTCTATAATACTCCTACAATTATTCTCTTAAAACCCGGGCCCAAGCCTAAAGGAACAGTTAATTAAGAAGAGGTAGTATTATATTATCATATTATTCGTTTTAAATTTAACTATTTTTGGAAAATAATAAACATAATGACAATAAGCATAATGACATTTCCTAGTTGTACTACATCATCATCATTTTTCTGGTACTAAATCATCATCATTATGATCACTATATTAAGGAGTATTATTTTAAAAGGTTACAAAAGAGCTAACCAGCTTATCAAATCAAATGGTAAATTAGAAGCTTGCAACATGAAAAATATAAAAGTGAACAGGGAAAGTTACTTAAAGTGTTTTATTTTCATTTTGTTGTTTCAAATTTGAAAGTCAAATAGTAATAAACTATTTATAGATTCAAACAATCATATTTAACCATGCTAAATTGCTAAATTATCTAAAATCAATTTAAAAACAGAAAAGGGCTGATATTTAATTTACCAGTCACCCCTATACAATGAAGGCCTAGGGAACATTTGTTTTGACATCTTTCCAATGTGAATTACTGGGAACAAATTTGAAAGAAATGAAAAGAAAGAATGAACAAAATGAAAAAGTGAAAAATTGAAAAAACATAAAAATTGAAAAATGAAAAAAAAAATGAAAAAAAGTTGAAGTTTTGCTGACGTGTTATGTTTAGTTGAGTAAGTGTGACAACACAGGAGGGCCCACAGCCCCTTCCCACGCACCGATAACTTCTTTCTTCTTCCTCCTCTTGGCTTTTGCCTGCACTGCCGTGTCTGAAATAAAAAAGTCTTCTCTGTTTTTCCATATAATCCGGCTACCGCCTTTCTCATCGCCGGATCACAGCTTTTCCGCCGAACGCCCGAGCCATACCGGACAAGAAAATATGGCACGGGCTCTAGTCCTCTATCTCGCTCTTTTCATCAGCTATTGCGGTGTCGTTCGGTGTCTTAGGTGTCCGACTAACAATCACAACGGCAGATTTCTCCTCCCGCAGCCGCCGCAGAATGGCGGAGCTGATCGAAACAAAAACCAGCAAGCCGCCACAAGCACAACCACGATGGTTCTCCCTCTGTACCCTCCCAAAGACTCGCCTTCCCTAGTTTCCGATGCGAAGAGCCTCTCCCGCCGGAACCTCCAGAATAGCCTTCCCAATGCTCGCATGGGTTTGCACGACGACCTTCTTCTAAACGGGTGAGGAATGAACATTGAATCATCTTCTCCTTCATCAAATTTTAGACTTTTATGCGTTGAAGGGAAATCAAATTATATTTTTACCCTATTAGATATATGAAAATGGTTTCGGTGCAGGTATTATACGACCCGGCTTTTGATCGGAACTCCACCGCAAATGTTTGCGCTTATAGTGGATACAGGGAGTACTGTTACCTATGTTCCCTGCTCGACCTGTGAGCAATGCGGCCACCACCAGGTTAGTGCAATTCTGAGATACTTGTATAGCTTCAGTTCCGTTGACTAATCCCTTTTTATGAAGATCAATCTCTATCTCTGATTCTTAAGAATGGGAGTTTAATTTTTGAGTTTGTAATTAGTCCAACTTGAGATGTCCATATGGCTATATATGTGATACATTGATGTTCATTGCTGGGCAGAATAAAAGTTTTCTGGAACTCTGAGTCCTGTTCCACCAGTTTCTAATATTTATGTTCAACATATCTTAATGTACGTAAGCAGTGCACTCTTGTTTGACGAGAACCAACTTTGATGCCCCCAACTTCACTTTCTTTCTCACAATTCCTGGAAGTAGGGAAATAAGATACTGATTTGCCATTTCCTTATGTAGGCTCTTATATCTGAAGAGGACAGTTGAATTAATTTATTTGCAATGACATATCACGTAGTTTGGGAATACTTATGGCATTTTTCTGTCTTCCTTTATTGCAAATTTGATGGTCTATTGATGTATTCTATTTATTTTTCCATCTGTGATCAGTATTTGGCTCGTTTTATGTGTTTGACAGGATCCTAAATTTCAACCTGAGCTTTCAAGCACCTACCAACCTGTTAAATGTAATATAGATTGCACCTGTGACCGTGACAATGAGCAATGCATTTATGAAAGGCAATATGCTGAGATGAGTACCAGCAGCGGGGTGCTTGGCGAGGACATTATTTCATTTGGGAACCAAAGTGAGCTCAAACCTCAGAGAGCCACATTTGGTTGTGAGAACTTGGAAACTGGTGATCTTTACAGTCAACGTGCTGATGGCATCATGGGCTTAGGCCGTGGAGATCTCAGCATAGTCGATCAACTAGTTGAGAAAAAAGTAATTACTGACTCCTTTTCATTGTGCTATGGTGGGATGGATATTGGTGGTGGTGCAATGGTTCTGGGTGGAATATCACCCCCTGCTGACATGGTCTTTACTCATTCAAATCCAACTCGGAGGTATGCATTCGCAGTAGTGGTATTGTGACACTGAGTGTTAGGTTCTCTCCTAACAAATACACTTTATCAATCTTATGCATTTACTCTAGTCTCGGGATGGCAACAGCCCATATTACAATATAGAGCTGAAGGAATTGCATGTTGCTGGGAAAAAACTACCTATTAATCCGCGGATCTTTGATGGAAAGCATGGAACCGTCCTTGATAGTGGCACAACATATGCTTACCTACCAGAAGAAGCATTTAAAGCATTTAAGCATGCTGTAAGATTGATCTCACTGAGTTTATGAGCTTGTTTCTTGATTTTTGTGTGACAATTTTTGACAATGAAAACAAGAATGTCAAACAAAATTGCTTATGAGTAGTAGGTTTTTAAAACCCTTTTCATCTAGTTTGTTGTATGCTTTATTTGGTTTAGCATATTTAATCCCAGAAAAATATTCTCAAACTGATGTTTTTCTGTTTTGATATTTAAATTAATCACGATTAATCACAAAAATATCCTTCCATTTGTGTTAATCGAAATCCAAACCATATTGACATTCTTTATCAGTGGATTAACACGATTCTTTATGGAGTTTGAACTTAGGGTGGGTTGAGCTCTTCCGAATATGTTTTGACCCAAAACTAAATATGGAACCAAAGTAAAAAGTTCAGTTTGGTTTGGTTTTACATTGTGAAACATGAAACCATGGTTTGTTGGTTCGGTTTATTTCAGTTCGGTTTCGTTTTTTCGAAAAATGTTGTCACAACAACAACATCCAAGCCTTAATCCCAAAAGAATTTGGAGTCGGCTAACATGAATCGATCTATGATATCGATGCCAAACAGAGAAGACATACAAAAAGGCAAGAAGAAAAAAAAGAAGTAAGATAAAACGAATAAAATAAAGATAAATAAATATAAGATAACAATAACATAATAATATAAGAAAGATAAAAAGATAAGAGCACAAAAAAGCTGGCAAATAAAAATAACACAAGAAAATAAAAAAAATAAAGAAGATAAACAATAAAAGAAAAGAGAGAGGAAAGGTTGAAAAGACATCAATCGTCCACACGAATGTGCGCCATCCACTTCGCTCTCTCCAAAGCTATACTCTCATCCAACTACAAAAGACGCATATCAGTTCTGATTCCTCTAATCCAAGTCTGTTTGGGTCTTCCCCTCCCTGCCTCTTCTCCCCACCCCTCAAGTCGTCTAACAGGTGCATCACTCGGTCTTCTACGCACATGCCCAAACCACCGCAAATGAAACTCTTGCATCTTAACCTTTATAGGTGTTACTTCGACCTTTTGTCTGATTATCTCATTTCTCAAGCGGTCTTTTCTGGTATGTCCACACATCCAACGCAACATACGCATCTCTGCCACACTCATCATTTGGATGTGGCATTGCTTCACCGCCCACCACTCTACGCCATACATTCATGCAGACCTAATTGATCATCATCATTTCATCATTTTCATTTACCCCAGTGCCGCAGACCTAATTGATGTTCGATAAAATTTACCTTTCAGTCTAGTCGGCATACCTCGATCGCATAGAAATCATGATGCACTCTTCCATTTCATCCACCCAGCTCTGATTCTATGGCATACATCTCCATCTAATTCACCATCCTTCTGAATTATGGAGCCCAAATAACGGAACATATCACACACCGGTATCTCCTTACCATCAAGAGTAATCCCATCGTTGCTGCTACTTCTACCTCCACCAAACTTGCACTCCATATACTCAGTCTTGCTTTGGCTCAGTCTGAAACACTTGGTCTCCGATGTTTGTCGCCATACTTCCAACTTTGCTTTAACACCACATTGCATCTCATCAATCAATACAATATCATCTGCAAACATCATGCACTACAATATATCTTCTTGAATTGACTTCGTAAATTCATCCATGACTATAGTAAATAAGAAAGGACTCGAAGCAGATCCTTGATGCACTCCGATAGTAATAGGGAACTTTGCGGTCCTCCCTACAATAGTTCGGACACTAGTAGTACAAACATCATACATATCCATGATGATACCGATATACTTACGTGATATGTCTTTTCTAGTTAAGGCCTACCAAAGGACTTCTCGAGGTACCCTATCATATGCCTTTTCTAAGTCAATGAACACCAAATGCAGATCCTTTTTAGTGTCTCTGTACTTCTCCACAACCTGCCTAAGAAGGTGAATGACCTCAGTTGTTAAGCGTCCAGGCATAGAACCAAATTGATTCTCCGAAATTTTCACACATTTATGAAGTCTTTGCTTAACCACTCGTTGCCAAAGTTTCATGGTGTGACTCATAAGCTTAATCCCTCGATAGTTGGCACATTCTTGTACATCACCCTTATTTTTAAATAGGGTAATAAGAGTACTCTTCCGCCAACTCATTGGCATTTTGTTGTTTCTCCAAATCATGTTGAAGAAATGTGTTAGCCACTCGATGCATTTCTCTCCCAAACTTCTCCAAGCCTCGATCGGTATGCCATCTGGGCCCACTGTTTTATTCCGCCCCATCTTTCTCATAGCCTCTTTAACTTCTGTCGTTTGAATCCTTCTCACGAAGTCCCGATTTACCATACACTCTGGTATAGTAAGATCATCAATACCTTGCACTTTATTCCTGTTGAACAAGGTATCAAAGTATGACCTCCACCTCTTTTTAATTTCTTCGTCCTCCATTAGTACCCAATGATCGACATCTTTCACACACTTAACTTTTCTGATATCTTGAGTCCTTCGGTCACGAAGGCGAGCAAATCTGTAAATATCATTTTCTCCTTCCTTAGAGTCCAATTTTACATACAGTTCCTTGTTCACTTTTGCTCTGGCTTCCTTCAAAGCTTTGTTTGATCTTCTTCTAGCCTCCTTGTACTCCTCTATGTTCTCGTCGCTCCAACTTTTATCCAATTTCTTACAGCATTCCTTTTTAATCCTTATTTCTTGTTTCACCTCATCATTCCACCACGACGTGCCCTTTTTTGGTGGAAGACATCCTTTAGATTCTCTGAGTATCTCCTTCGCCACTTTGTTAATAGTGGACTCCATTGATAAACCACATTTATGCATATGTGCGTCATTATCAATAGACCATACATCTTCCTCCAACATTTTTTGTGCAAAACTTTGTTGGAGATTCCACTCGAGCCTCCACCACTTTATCTTTGGCTTCCCTTGTACCTTAACCCGCCTCCTCTTTTTACCTTGAAAATCAAGCACAAGCATCCTATGTCGAGTGATAACACTCTCACCTGGGATAACCTTACAATCAGTGTAGTTAGTTCTCCAAGTCATTCGTACTAAAAGGTAGTCAATTTGGGTACTATTAGCTCCACTTCTATAGGTGACAAGTTGAGAGTCTCTTTTCTTGAACCAAGTGTTCATCACAGCCAATTCATATGATGAGGCAAAATCCAGAATGTTCTTTCCCGCTTCATTTCTAGTGCCAAAACCATGTCTGCCATGAATACTCTCAAAACCATCACGACTTGGGCCCACATGCTCGTTGAGGTCGCCTCCTATGACCAACTTCTCTCCCCTTGGCACTCGTCGCACCTCTTCCTCAAGATCCTCCCAAAATTGTTGAGTGATAGGTGCATCCAATCCCATTTGTGGTGCATAAGCACTTACCACGGACACAATCTCATCTCCTATTATCAACTTAATGCTCATGATGCGATCGTTCTTCCTAAAGACTTCAACCACACCCTCAACATAATCATGCGCCACCATAATGCCTACTCCATTTTTGTTCCTCTCTCTTCCTGAATACAACAGCTTAAAACCTCCGGGATTAATATCACGTGCCTTTTCTCCAACCCACTTAGTTTCTTGCATGCACATTATGCTTATATTCCTCCTCTTCATAACCTCGGCTATCTCAGATGATCTTCCCGTAAGAGAGCCAACATTCCATATCCCAAAATGCAATCTAGCACCTTGCCTTCTCTTCTTCACACCAGATCGACCCCCACCATGCCCTTGCATATTTGACACCATCCCCGGGCATTAGAGTGGCACGTCGCTTCCGAACGATGACCTAGCAGTCTTAGCATTCTTATCACCACACCCAGGCCTATGAAGTGTAGTGCGCCCTTGCTCATTTGACACCACCCCCAGGCGGAGGGATGACGCGTCGCTTACGGGCGACGACCTAGCTGTAGCGATATTCATAGTTCGATTCGTGTCATGTGATGTGACTAAGTGATACTGTTGCTCTTCACGCGCATGGCAGAGTTTTTCAAAAAATGTTGCATTTGATTAAAAATGATACAATAGTTGAGGAAAATACTCAACCCTATAACACAAAAAATTATGCAAACATACTAGAAAGAAAAAAAGAGAAGGAACAAATACATCTTGAACTACACGTGAGAGAACAAATACTTTTTCAGTTTTTTGAAACAAAGTGTATAGTAAGATTATACTCCGTATATTGTATATAAAAAAGTTCAAGAAATTTTTCTTTCAAAACTTGTGTGCGTTAATTCATTTTTTTTCATTCAACATTTTTTCTTGGAGGTATATATAATTTCAAAAAATTCATAGACAAACATATATATATTCCTAATTTATAACTTTTGTGTTTAGTTTGAACATAATTCATGAATGTATACGATGTATATTTTTTCTCTCAATACAAACACTTTAGGGTACAAAAACCAAAAGTTACTAGTAGTAATAAACAACAAAAAACATCACCATCATCCCATCATGCAACAATAACATCCAAGCCTTAGTCCCAAAAGTGTTTCGGGTCGGCTAACATGAATCGACACATGGAATCGTAGTTAAAAGGACTTGAAAGATAAGAAAGATAAGATACAATATGATAAGATAAAGATAAAAATCAAATGGTAAGATATAAAGAATAAAAAGGGAAGATAAAAAGGATAAAAGTATAAAGAACATAAGAAAGATAAAAAGGATAAAAGATAAAAGGATATAAATGATGAAAAGAGATCAATCATCCACACGAATATTCTCTTTTCACTTTGCTCTCCAAACAGACTTGGATTAGAGGAATAAGAACTGATATGTGTCTCCTTGGGTTGGATGAGAGCATGAGTTTGGAGAGAGCAAAATGGAGGGCACACATCCGTGTGGACGATTGATGTGTTTTCTACCTTTCCTCTTTTTTTTCTTTTATCGTTTATTTTCTTTATCTTTTTATATTCTTATGATATTTTAATTTTCTAGCTTTTTATGCTCTTTTTTCTTTTATCTTTCTTATTTTCTTGTGTTATTGTGTTATTGTTATCTTATATTTATTTATCTTTATTTTATTTGTTTTATCTTACTTTTTTTTCTTCCCTTTCTTGTCCGTCTTCTTTGTTTGACATCGATATCATAGATCGATTTATGTTAGCCGACCCCAAATTCTTTTGGGATTAAGGCTTGGATGTTGTTGTTTGTTGTGGTTGCTTTGCTCTCTCCAAAGTCATACTCTCATTAAAACCAAGAAGAAACATATCACTCCTGACTCCTCTAACCAACGTCTATTTGGTTTTTTCTCTCCATCCGCCTCTTCTCCCCACCTCTGAACTCGTCTAACATGTGCATTACTCGATCTTCTATGCACATGACCAAACATAATTCTCTTTTCAATAAGTGTTACTCCCACCTTTTATTTGATTCTCTCATTACTTAGTGTCTTCTCGAGTAAGCTCACACATAACACAACACGTGCATTTTAGTTATACTCATCCTTTGAATGTGAAAATGTTTCACAACCTATGTGATATAGTAATGTAGGCATAATTGCTGCCTGATAGAATTTACCCTTCAGTCTAGTCGGGATAGAATTTCCGTTCCATCCACCTTGTTCTGATTCTATGTGACACATCTCCATCCAGTCACCATCTTTCTGAATTATTAAGCCCAAGCAACAAAACATATCATTAAGGCGGTATCTCCTTACCATATAGTGTAATCCTAATGTTACAACTGCTTCTACCTCCACCAAACTTGCACTCCATATACCCAGTCTTGCTTTAACTCGGTCTAAAACCTTTATTCTCCAAAGTTTGTCGCCATATTTTCAACTTTGCTTTAACACATGCTTATGTCTGATCAATCAATACAATATTGTCGGCAAACATCATGCACCAAAGTTTCATGGTGTGACTCATAGCTTAATCCCTCGATAGCCAACACATTATTGTAACATCGCCCTTATCTTAAATAGAGGAATACGAGTATTCTTTCACCAACTCGTTGACATTTTATTGTTTCTCCAAATGTTGTTCTAGAAATGTGTCAACAATTCGATGTCTCTCTCCCAAACTTCTTCAGGCCTCGATCGGTATGCCATCTAGACCCATTGGTTTCTTCTGCCCCATCTTTTTTATAGTCTCTTTAACTTCTGTCATTTGGGTCCTTCTCATTAATTCCAATTTACCATACAATCGGGTATAGTAAGATCATCAATATCTTGTGTTTTATTCCCCTTGAACAAGGTATAAAGGTATAAACTCCAAATCTCTTTTATTTCCTTGTCCATTAATACCTTTGATCGTCATTCTTCATAAACTTAACTTTTCCGATATCTTGAGTTCTACAATCACGAAGATGAGCAAGTCTATAAATATATTTTTCTCTTTCCATAATGTTGAATTTTACATACAATTCCTTGTTCACTTTCTCAAGTGCTTCCTCCATGATTTTTTTTACTTCTTTTAACATCTTTGTACTCCTCTATGTTCTTACTGCTCCATCTGTTTCCCAACTTGTTGTAACATTCCCTTTTGTGCCTTATGGATTGTTTTACCTCATCATTCCACCAAGATATGCATTTTTTGGTGGCAGACATCCTTTAGATTCTCCAAGTATCTCTTTTGCCACTTTTTTAATGATCCGCTCTATTGATAACCACACATCCTCTACATATGTGTCATTATCAATACACCATACATTTTCAACAAACATTTTTTTGCAAAGCTTTGTTGGAGATCCCTTCGAGCCTCCACCACTTTATCTTTGGCTCCACTTATTGCTTAACCCGCCTTCTATTATCCTTACCTCGAAAATCAAGCACCACCATCCTATCTTGAGTTACAACACTCTCACCTGGGATAACCTTACAATCAATATAACTAGTTCTCCAAATAGTTCGTACTAAGAAGTAGTCAATTTGGATATTATTCTACGGGCCATAATGTGATAGTCTCTTTTCTTAAATAAAGTGTTCATTACCAATAATTTTCTAGTACTAGAATATCAATGACTAACAATAATATCAGGATCAATGATTAACGGTTAACAAAGAAAATATGATACTTCCTCTATTCTCTTTTAATTGCAACGCTTCTCTTTTCAAGTTTGCCAACGCACAACTTTGACCATTAATATATTTAATTTTCTATTAGTAAAAAAATAAAAAAATTCAGATTTTGAAATTTATCGATAAGACAAGTTTGATGATGTTTTTCAAAATCAATTCAGTAATACTTAATGAATAAAATGTAGTCAAAGTAGAACATGTGAATAGTGTAAAATTCAACAGTTTGCAATTATTTAACAACGGAGGTAGTATCCATTAGTTTGGTTTATTTGGTTTGGTTTTGAAAGGCCAAAACTGAAGTCGAACCAAACAACTATGGTTGGGTTCAGTTCGTTTTTTGCACTCGGTTGCGGTTTGTTTGCGTTTCGGTTTATTTTGATTCAGTTTTGAATTTTTGTTTTTTCGATTCCATTCCTATTTGAACTAATTTTACTTGTACTTGCAGGTCATGAGTGAAGTTCATTCACTGAAGAAGATCAATGGCCCAGATCCAAACTACAGTGACATATGTTTTTCTGGTGCTGGAAGGTATGCAAAAGACATTAGATATTGCTAAATATGTCTGAAGATATTTTTAATGTTTTTGTGCAGTAGTCTATAAAGGCTTTTTTAATCCTTGAGACGTTTTGTTTATATAAAGGTGAGACGTAATTTTCAAGGCAGTATGACTGTATGAGGTATAAGCCATTAAACGTTCAAGTAAGAGATACCTGATACAATAATATTTTAAACACAAGCCATTAAATTAGATGCTCCTAAGCCTAAACAGATTTTGGAAAGTGTTAAAAACACAAACTCACGCAATTGTACTGCTGACCAAATAATTTGACTCTTCATAATTCATACCACTGCATTTTTTGTGTCTACTTTTCATGTTTACTTAGTCTCCTGACTGCTTAACTTAAGACTGAAAAGCAGATAACCGAACATAATTATGAGAAGGGAATAAGAGATTAAGAGTGTGATTGTGATAGCTGAAAAGATTCGATTATTTAATAATCAATTATATTTATAATTGATTATTTTCATAGTTATAATCCGAATCGGTTATTGTTTTGGTAATGTTTGTTTAAAGGTAGTTCTGGAACAACTCATTTTGTTTGGATGCAACAAAAATTTAGCTTTTACAAGGTAAAGTAGTATAAAAACAACTGAAACACAAGATAAGCTGTTGAAAAATAATTATAAGCCACAAATTTGAACTTCTCCAAAACAGGTGAAAGTTTGTGAAAATAAGTTGTTCTAAATAAAGTAGAATGTTCTAGGACTTTCAGAAAACACCTGAAATTGTAGGTTCTCAAACAAGCTCTAAGAAATTATAGAAGAGCAGAACCTGAGAAGATAAAAGTGATGCCTTCATAATAAAACAGCAGTGTCACTGCAAAGGCAAAAAAGGCAGAAATTCTAATCAACAAATCTTGAGGATGAATGACAATCAGGCCATCAGGGATTCAAAGATTTTTGGAGATTTGAGCAATCGACAATTATTAGCAGATTGCATTTCGGTTTCGTCCTGAATGATTTTATTTCCTTTTTGGTTGCTTTCTTTATTTAATTTTGTATGCCTAATAAAGCCTATTTAAGGACATCTGAATAATGGAATAGTATGCAAGTTTGAAGCAAGAACAACCACAAGGAGTGCAGAGTTCTCAATAAATGTTCCTACTTCTATTGCTATAAAAACATGCACACAACTAGTTCTTTTCTGTACTGTCCCAAACAGCAACCATAGCCAATCCCTCAAAATAGCAGTCTTCCATCCCCACAACTGTTCAGCGACTAGGCGTCCAGGTGCTAGGGAGTTGTCACCAGGTGCCATCGCCTTGCCTTGAAATTAGAAACGGATTAATTTTCAGAAGTTAGAAACCCATCCCAAAAAATAATTATCTATAAATACAAGAGCCCAGCCTTACAAATCGGCAAAGGAAGTCTACATTTCGGAAGGAAAAGCATGGGTTAAGATCGCGAGTCAAGTCGTAAGATCGGACGATCTTACGAGTAGGGCGTGACTGGGCGATCTGGATTGTAGCTAAGATCAGAAAATATGGTAGGGCCTAGGATCGAAAGATTGATGAGTTGGAACATAAAAACGCCGGATCGGCGTACGACATCAATCTGCGCAAGAGACTGAATCGCCAGGCTGGTCAGATCTTGTACAACAAACAACGAAAACAGAAACCAAAAGAAAAACTTACGAAGCGTCGACAACCGACTCCAAGGATGCGAGCGGAGCTCCAATAGACGCAAGTTGATATTTTGGTTTGTTTTTGAATCCAAGTTAGTATAAAAGTGTGTCTCTTGTTCTGAGTTACGATCTACCAAACCCCTTCTGATCCGTGCTAGGATTTCCAGTTTAACAACATTGAGGAAAAGAACCATATGCATGGTTTTGTTCATTCCTTGCAGGTCCCTCTTTGCTCGCAACTCGCAAGATTTTTCTCTTCTTTCATTTGCACTCCCACATTCGTTCGCTACTTCGTATTTAATTCTTTTATGTTTTTCTTGTTCTTTCTCTCTATTCTATTCTTTTTTAATATACTTTTATATATGTGTGTGTGTATATATTGCCGTGCATCGGTGCGGTATGCCAGATTGCCAGTATAGTGTACACTTAATTATTATCATTTTAATATAAGCGATGATTTAGTTCTTGGTGACTTAGTCCTGTTTTGAATTAATAAACTTTGTTTTGCATTATTAATTGGTGGTTTCAATTCTAGACAATATAAAATTTAATTTGTAATATATAATATATTACAAATTAAGTATCTTTGAATATACTCCCTCCGGTCCTAAATAAAGTTCAGTGTTTGACTTCACACAAATTAAGGAAATAATTTTGACTTTACTGTAGAGTACACTGTTGTGACACTGTTTGGCGATGTAGATAATTTGCCAAATAAGGAAGGGAGAAGAAGTGTGAACTTTAATTTGGACCGGCCAAAAAAGGAAAGTGTGAACTTTATTTAGGACCGGAGAGAATATTATTTTATATATTTAAATATTATATATGGTGCGCCTAGTCGCCTGTCGCCTAATTGTAAACTAGGTGTGCAGCTAGTCGCCTTGGCAATACAGCAGTCGGCTGACACCACTCCTCGCCTTACTGCCGTGACAAATATGGTCCCCACTCCTGAGGAAGCTTTTGATGGGACCTTGTACACAAACCTCTAATAATAAAAAAAACTTCAGAGTTAGAGAGCACTGATAAAATAGGGAATTTAGACTGCAATAAAATTTGATTCACAACCCCACAGAGAATTACAGAGCTGCGTGAAGCTTGTTTGCAGAAGAGTAGTTTGAGTTCTTAATTTCCTCAAGGTCTTCCTAAAGCCTGATTAAGCTATGACATCTGCCTGATGCTATTATGCAAAGGAGCATTTTTGATTTGGACAACTGGTTTATGAATTTTTATCACGTCATATAGTGAATTTGATCACTAAAAAACAAAAACTTATCAGGGATTTAAGAATAATAAGAACAGTAAGGACAAAATAATAAGCATTAAAAGTTAAAACGAAACATATAAGCCTAATAAACAACCCTGACATTAATGAAGCGGCACACCTCATTCATGGGACAACATGGAAAAAAGACGTAAGCCTCCAGGCAAAATTCATGTATCTCGAATTGAGAGCAGCCTCAAAACGCTTTTTCAACAATGTTTTGTGCTACCATGCAATGTTGATATTTTCTCACTTTTCAGTGACGTTTCAAAACTTACAAAGGCTTTTCCATCAGTTGACATGGCATTTAGCAATGGACAGAAAATATCACTTTCTCCTGAGAACTACTTGTTCAGGGTACTGATTTGGGTTTATCTTACTCTTGCTCATTTGATTTCTTGTTATGCTCCCTTTTCTTTAATCTCCAAAGTCTAATTGTTTCTTTCAGTGTTCATTCTTTAATTTTTTTTGTTTCCTGATTTATTCAATCTTGCTTTCATAAAGCATTCAAAGGTTCGTGGTGCCTATTGCTTGGGGATTTTTCAGAATGGAAAAGATCCTACTACTCTTTTAGGAGGTATTTATGGCAAAATGTCAACAGGGCCCTTATGCTACAATTAGTTCCTCTCATTTTGTTCATTGTTGAGCCACAGATTTCTTGCTTTTAACTTGAACATTTTATCGCAGGAATCGTTGTCCGCAACACACTAGTAACATATGACCGTGAACATGAAAGGATTGGTTTTTGGAAAACTAATTGTTCTGAGCTGTGGGACAGACTTGGTGCACCTGTTGCACCTCCACCACTGCCCTCAGGAGTGCATAACAACATTTCCAATGTGAATATGACCTCTCCTCCTAATGAGATTTCAAGGAACATCACTTCAGGTATATTTTGGGCTTCTATGCAATTTTCTCTAACCAAATGTAAGTAAAACTATATTGTCTCTGAATGTATAAGTTTACTGAAACTTCAAGTTCCTCTTTTTAAAAGAAATTGCCTTTACTTGGAGAACACGGGTTAATTTCTCAAACAAGACTACATATGGTTTATTCCTAAAAAGGATAAAAGAATAAAAACATTGAAAAAAATCTTTGAAGAGTAATGAAGTCCTATTTTAGGAAAATAATGGTTGTCCCATTTCAAGATAAGTGTCGTGTTTTGATCATATTTTGGAAATTTAATCTTGTTTATAGAATTCGACTTATATTTTTCTTTCCATTGCTGTATTATCATTTTCCAGAAATATACTATCTGCTCTAATATACAATATCTAGTTTTGCGCTTCATAGAGTCATTTGTGCTCTCTTTGAGTATATTGATGATATACAGATACCTATTTAAGCAGTGATGTTAGTATGTACACGAATATTGTCTGCATACATTAACATTTTATAGAACTATGTAAAAGTAGAAGGATAAAAGATTGAGACAAAAGAATGGAAAAAAGGGATAACATCAAACTTTGTCTTTTTTTTATATAGTAACACTTGATATGAACCAAAAAATTGCTTCCGAAACAATACTTAATTAATATGAACTGGAGCCCAGCATGGCCCATGAAATTTCTTTGCCAAAATATTTTTAGTGGAAGATTACTGATGGACTACGAATGCCACCATCTTCCTTGTCACTAAATTCTTACTGCTGCTATGAATATAAACCTGGTTTACCAATACATTACCAACATGTTTTTCCTTCGTTAATGTTACACAGGGTTTTCTGCTAATCTGAAGTTAAAGTTAAACAATCCATAAATTTTAATTAATGCTACGAGTTCTACTGTTCTAGTAGTGTTCTCCAGATGGACTCACACAAAGAAAACATTACAACTTTATAACACAAAAAAATTAAAACGCAAAAAGAGAAAACTAAAGGACATACAAATGACCAGATTAAAATGCAAAAAAAAATCCCCTAAAAAAACACAAAAAAATTAAAACGCAAAAAGAGGAAGCTAAAGGACACACAAATGACCTAAGCAAAGTATCATTTTCATTTTCATTTACCCCAGTGCCGCAAAGGCTCCCACCTACGGTGGGGTAAGGGGGGGTCGGATGTACGCAGTCTTACCCCTGTACTAAAGCACAGAGAGACTGTTTCCGGATGACCCATAGTAAAAATCTCGTCCAAAATTGCATGGACTGACTGCTGCTTCATGACAAAGAAGCGCAAACAGTTTAGTGAGCCATTTTGCTTTATTCCATCATAATCTCAAGCCAAAAAATAATGAATCTTTGGCTCCATTGCAAATGATGGAAAGTATATGAGAACATATTAAAATAAAAGAAAACAACTACTTTTGGATCTACCAAAGTGCCAAAAATAATGAATGAGTTCTTAACATTTACTTCTTTAATTAACTCCTCCACCCGTATTAACAAGGAAGTTTGAAAAAGTGAAGATAAAAGAATCAATGTAGAATGAAAAACTTGATGTGAGTTCCTAACCGAACTGAATGGAGCGAGGCTATGTCTGTGGGATTCGATTCAGATCTTAACAGAACTGAACAGAAAGGACAACCTAACATATCGAGTAATTGTATAACACTACTGACCCTCTACGGCCAAAGAATAGGAGATGAAGTTGATGTTGGACCACCATCGCTGCAGGAGATTTGACATGGAAGGTTTCTAATGCGCTGAAAGGAGGTGAAGGTGCGTGTGTGAGAAATAGGGTGAAAGAAAGAAAGGACAGAGTTTTGAAATAAATAAGAAAACAAGATAATAAAGGACAGGGTTTTGGATGAATAAAAATCACAAAATCATGTAGTAAGTATACATGTTTAAAAAATAGCAAAATACATTAAAAATAATATTTGGTAGTTGCAGACTTGACTCCAAACGTTCACCTGTTAAGAATGAAGATCTAAAAGACGTGAGATTTGAACTGGTATCGGTTGGAGGTGTACAAGGGACATATGACCTTGAATCTTCATGATCACATGTTTCTTCATGTACAGAGTAGAAGGTGACAATACTTTGTAATTTTGTATATATCCTCATTAGTTAAGGATTAAGACTTTTTGGTGTATTTAGTATTATTCTCAGACTTAAGTATTATATCCCACTGTTACCACTTACCACTACTTCTACCTCCACCAGGCTTGCACTCCATATATTTAGTCTTGCTTCGGCTCAATTTGAAACCCTTGGTTTCCAATGTTTGTTGTCATTACTTCCAACTTTGCTTTAACACCCGATTGTGTCTCATCAATCAATACAATATTGTCGGCAAACATATGCACCACGGTATATCTTTTTGAATTGACTTCGTAAGTTCATCCATGACTAAGGCAAATAAGAAAGGACTCAAAGCTGATCCATGGTGCACTGTGATAGTATAGGGAACATTGCAGTCCTTCACTCCTTCTACACTAGTACGGACACTTGTATTATATTGAGAGTTGAGATTAGTGAAGTAAAATTTTGTCAAGCACTCGAGCTTCATCACTTGTTTATGTTTTCTGAGAAAGTTAGAAGTATCATCTCTGTGTGTGTTATGCTTGCTTAGCATGTATACATCCTTGCATAGTTGTCTACTTGTCTGTCTGATTTTATATTGATTAAGTGGTTTCTCTGAGCATTATGCTTGTTATGACTCATGAGCAGTGTTGTCAAATGGAGGCCATGGCTTAAATGTAGCATGCATCCATAATCCATATGAAGTATATAAGGGGAATTGCAATAATGAAGGGAATTCCAGTTGGTGGCTTTGCCTATTAGTGCTTTGTTCTGTTTGTTTGTTTGATGTGTGTGTTGTGTGTCACTCCTTATTTTGTTTTTGTATGATATTGATACTCTTCCAAATGTTCTCATTATGAAGTGCAATTTCACTCCTGAAATAGTGGTTCTGAATAATATTCATGCGATATCTTAATCTGCAGAAGAAATTAAAGTAGCCAGTCTGACGATATTCTTATCACTTAGCAAAAACTACTCAGATCTGAAGCCCCAAATTCCAGAACTTCGTGAATTTTTTTCCCAGGAGCTAAATGTTAGTACTTCCCAGGTAGATTTATTCTGAAATGCAAAATTGCAACATTACATATCTGATGATGTATTTGGTCTCACATTGGGTTAGCTTCTTTTTCACTGTATGATGTTCTTCTATTGCAGGTCCACCTAGTAAACTTGTCATCAACAGGAAATGAGTCCCTTATTAAATTAGACGTTTATCCTGAGAAACCTGCATATTACATGCAAAATGTCGATGCTACGGTCAGTTTATATTTTCATATTATATGGTGATTTTTTTTAAAAGGGATTCTTGCAGATTTTTTGTTTCTTATGACCAGGAGTTTATCTCACGGTTAAGCGAACATCATTTGCAACTTCCTGATAAATTTGGAAGTTATGAGTTGGTGGGGTGGAATGTTGAGATCCCTCCAAAACGGTAAACTTTCAGATTGCATTTTATGCTTCTTAACTACTTTGAGTTCTATATCCACAATCCGCACGCATGCCACACTACATTTATATGCCTACGCTGCATTTGATGTTTTATTCAAATGATTAAGTTGTTGACTTGTTGTAGTGCTAAATATTTTTTTTATGAGCGTGGTAGGCATAAGGCAGACTTGTCCTTGGCATAGCCTAGAAGGAAGGTCTTGTCCTTGATAAATTCCCTTGAGGCTTCACCTTTGGCAAAACCTTAAGACTAAGTTTGATATTATATATTATTACTCCCTCAGTCCCTATTTAAAGTTCTTGTATTCCTTTTTGAAACATGTCTAAATAAATTTTTCTTTCCTTATATGGTAAAGATAATCTTATCAATTTACTTTACTAACCTTAAGTAACAGTATTTGTAATGTCAAAGGAATATCTACAGTAATATTTACTCTTTTTGAAAAAGACATTTGTGGAAGTCAACGAAAAGAAATCTGATTTCTTTTTATCTCTAAAGTTCAAACTAGGAATTCCTTTAAAGTTCAAACTGCTATTTATATTACTTACAAATCTTGGTGAGCAAGTAAATATTTTTCTGACATATGGTGAATTCTATTAGTAATCTTGAGTACTCCTTATTATAGAATATTCATAGGGAAATAGTGATAGAATACTTACTATAATAATCGCAAGGTCGCACTATGTTTGTCCTAAAAAACTTTGTCACTTTCCTTTTAAAGCAATGCATTTGTGACTATGTTCATTTCTCTCTCCGCTGCACAAACATCAACCACACAGTTTTTACTATTTTAATTTCACACCCAACATTAACTTGACAAAGTTGAGTGGGACGGAGGTCGTATGTAATATAAGCATATATCATATTTATACCGCGTTACAACAACATCCAAGCCTCAGTCCTAAAAGAGTTTAGGGTTGGCTAACATGAATCGACATATTTATACCTCGTTGCTTAAGAAATATGCATAGTACTCAGTGTATACTACTCACAGATCTTGATGAAATAGTATCTAGAGTCCCAACTTACGATGGAATAAAGCAAAATGGCTCACTGAACTATCTGCACTTCCTTGTTATGAAGCAACAGTCAGTCAATGCAATTTTTGACGCGATTTTCATCGTGGGTCATCCAGGAACAGACTTTTTTTGCTTTAGTATAGGGATAATGCTGCGTACATCCGACCCCCTCTTACCCCCACCGTTAGTGGGAGCCTTTGCGGCACTGGGACAATGTTGTTGTTGTTGTTGTTGGAGAAGGAATACTAAGTAAAATAAAATAGAACCAATACTAATTATAAGCTATTTCTACTAATAATAAGATACTAGTACTCCCTCCGTCCTATAGAATGGTTCCCACTTTTCTTTTTTGGACATCCCATATAAAGGTTCTCGTTTGCATTTTAGGAAACAATTAACAATCTTAAATGACAAATTAATCACTAAATATTAAAATTAATATTTTTATAACATCACAATTATCAACACTAACCCCATTATGTTATATACCAATTAAAATTATATCTCAAAATATACTCAAACTACCTTATTGAATTATTGTCTAAATAACTGTGTCGTTTTGCAATGAGAACCTTTTAATGGAACGGAGGTAGTACTAATTACTAATACCAATTCTAATATTATTACTAGTATATAGTTATATACTACTTCTGTTCACAATCTCTACTTTAACCACATTTTATTTGTTAGTGTATTAAAGAAACATACTATGAAAAGTAAAACTGCCAAGATTGATCTCAGTGCAAAATTTCAAATTATGAGTTATATTATTTATAGACAATTAAATATATTAAGTGTGTTTGCAAACGTGAAAGTCAAAGAATTGTAATTAAATAAAAATGGATAAAATATAATATAAGCTCATATAAGTGTAAAGGATCCAGATACTTTCAATTACTTACAATTTCACATCAAAATACTCCAGCCTTAAAATGGATGAAATTACTTACAATTTCACATCAAATCCGGATCCAGTTATATGAGTGAACATTATACACCTAGGTGTAAAGGATCGCCATCAGGGAATAGATGTAGAGAATCAAGGACCGGGACATATTTTTAGTCTTATTAGGAGATCCTGTTACAAAGGAAGGATGTGATCCTCTCTTTTTTTACAAAAGAAAGAAATGGTTGATGAAGCAAATAAAAATAGAACTCGAGTTCATTGCAATTCCCAAAAGCATTTGAAAAACACATGTGGCTTTAGTTCTTATCATCTGGTTCTTTCTAGCCATATGTGGCATTTAGGGTTGATTTCTTCTCTAAAAGGTTTGCCCAATAATTATTTCCAATTTTATCATTCGAAATCCAGTCAATGTGATTTGGCTCTGTTGAAATTGTCCAGGACGGGGTGGCACCAGAATGGCATGGCTGTAGTTGTTGCATTAGCAGTTATAGTGATACTTGGATTATCAGCTTGTTTGGGATGGTTTCTTTGGAAGCATAGACAACAATCACCTCTGTCGTATAAGCCTGTAGATAATGCAAGCCCAGAACAAGAACTCCAGCCCCTATGATGCAGAGACCTTTCATCCCTTAAATAGATGTACCAGAAAAAGAAACAGGACCAGTGTTTTGTTCAAGGTTATGCTTACTTTTTATACCGAGTTACAGGTTAATGAAAGTTTTTTCAAAAAGGTCCGCAGAAGTGTCACAGTAGTCTTTGGAACAGAAATATGAAAGATAATCGCGCCCATTTCAGATATGTCGTGTATGTAAGTAAATGCTCTTGAGATACCATCCTTAAGCGTCAGTTATGGTTTATCCATGTATGCTTCTTGCTTTTCGGCCCATTTCTCTATGTTCCGACTGTCAGTTCATTGCTGGGTATCAATCTAGCTCTATGCTTTTCAAAAAAAAAAAAAACGGAATATTATCAATCTAGGACCCGAAAGATAGATGAGTTATCAATCTGGACCTAAAAGATGAAATGTAACTACTAGTCAAGTAACTCCATTTTATTTTATGCCTTTTTAATTTTCATGTCGTTGGGTAACAGCTTTTTGTTTAATACGGAGTAACATAGAGGGGCCACCCCAAACAGTTAAGGGACAAGCCATCGGTGAGTGTAGGGATGGACTCGGGTCCGGGCCGGCGGGTCAGAAATGGTGGACCCGGGACCGGTCCGGGTAACCACCGGGTCCGGTCCGGGTCCGGGCCGGGCCGGTCCGGGTCCGGGCCGGGCCGGGCCGGGCCCATTATATTTTTTTTTGATTTCCTCTTCCTAATTAACCCCCTCCCACCCCCAACCCCCCAAACCACCCCAAATGGCCCAAAATACCCAGCCCAAACCGAAAATTTAAAAAAAATTGAAAAAAAAAAGAAAAAAAAATAGTTTTTGGCCCGAACCGGGCTCGGGCCCGGCCGGGTCGGGCCTTGTTTTGGGTGACCCGAGCCCGGACCGGAAAACCCACGGGCCGGGCCTACCCGGACCGGTCACTGACCGGGCCACCGGGCCGGGCCGGGCCGGAACAGTACCGGTCCCGGGTCGGTTCCGGGTCGGGCCACTCGGCCCGAGTTCATCCCTAGGTGAGTGTAGTAGAGATCCGGTTGAGGGCACCTTTATTATTATATGGGACAAATGAGTTATATATCCCAAACTTTGAAGGTGTGAGATAAGTACTACAAATTGAATACGTGATTAAATCTCAAAGTTTATATAACAAGTTATATTAACATCATGATGATATATTTTTTCACAAATAAAATTCTGTGTCAAGTACATAATTTAAAATATACAAAACATTTATGAGGATGTAATTAAAATTAAATTAAACCAGATGTCATAACTAGGTGAAGATTTTAGATTTTAAGCCCACGCATTTGAAGTGGTCGTTTCTGAGTGCTTGTATAGTCGTTGTTAACTGTAGAAAGTTAATTCAAAACTAATCTAATCTATCTATGTAGACGTGTTTATGAGTATGGATTATTTAATAGACATCTTCGGTAGAGATTATTATTGTAAAACCGCTAAAAGTGTGGATTATTGATATGAATTTCACCTTTTTCATATAACGTAATAGAAATATTTAAAACCATACTATCAAATTCTCTTTTTCGTTTAGTTCTAAATATTTTATTTATATTCATTTCTATTTCATTTTAATATATATTTAAAATTAATATTAGTTATTCTATAATAAATATTACTAAAATGAATACAAGTATATGTTCAATTTTTTATTATATTTCACAAAAAATAGTTATGATCAAATTAAATTTAGAGCAGAAATAAGACTAAACAAAAACATAATATTATTAATGGTTTTATATATATTTGGTTCATTTTATTTTAAATTTCAAAAAAAGAATTAACGGAAAAGTTAACACCGTTAACTTCCGGTTTATTTTTGTGAAACAATTATCTGGTTGGGATTATTGTTGTGAACTTTTTCAGTCGGGATTATTTTTGTAAAATGGCTAAAAGTAGGGATTATTGGTGTCAATTTATTTTATTTGTGTTTTATTTTGTTACTCTTAGGTCAGTTAGTTTACTTTCTTTTATTTTGTCTTTTTTTATTCGTTTCTTTCTTTTATTGTTTCCTTCTTTCTTTTTCTTTATATATTAATACCGAGCACATTAGAAATGAGCTTTACTTTAAACTCAAATAAGTAAAGCGTCTAAAAAGAACGAAGATACATAAATTAGCTTTTTAATTTTTGAAAACTCATTTTGTAAGTTATGTATGTCCATTTAGTACCTTCGTTATGCTCATTTCAAAATGTTATATCAATGCATATTTCAAAAGTCTCATATTATATTAGATTCATATAGAATTTCTTTATAGACACGAGACCACAAATCGTGATACTCAATAGCACGATTCTAATACTCAAGAACGGAGGTTCGCTGTCCACTGAAAATGTCTTGATGTTCAACGAACAAAACTTACAATTTTTATATCAATGCTCATCTTGTAAGCAATATATGTTCATTTGTATAGGTTTGATGTTTATTAAAAATTCATTAATGCTCAATTAAAAGAAATCGCGAATTCCATCAATACACATTTTGTAAGTTATGTATGCTCATCTCGTACTCATCCTATGCTCATTTTCTAAATGTCATATCAATGTATTTTTTGAAAGTACTATTTTACATTAGATTCACATATTGAAATTCATAGCATTTGATTATAAATATAATTTAATAAGTTTTTATAAAAGAAAAATAACAAAAAAATGAATTAGAAGTTATGAAGCAGAGATCATGGTTCTGAATATTACACTCCTAATACCCAACACAATATGTTTGATGCTCATTAAAAGTTCATTAGTGCTCATTCATCAGATACCGTGATTTTCATCTTAATTGAGGTTTGATGCTCAATTAAAATGTCGTGATATTCATATCAATGTACACTTTGTAAGTTATGTATGCTCATTTGGTACTGATGTTGTGCTCTTTTTTTTTGCAAGGAAAAAAAAATGTGCACAATATGTTATGCTCATTTTTGAATTGTTATATAAATGCATATTTCAAAAGTATCAAATTAAATTAGACTCACATATTGAAATTAATAGGAGTGTGTTATAGATATAATTTAATAAGTTTTTATAAAAGAAAAAATAAGAAAAAGAAAACAAAATTAGAAGATATGAAACAGAGATCGTGATACTCATTTTTAGTCGTTTAAATACTCGATAAAATAGGTCTCCTGTCCGTACAGCCGAAAACGTGATTTTAGGCTCAAATTACAAAAATGACATGTATCCCCGATAGCTTTTTTAACCCTCGTTCCCTTCCCAATATTCCGCTAACCTCTTCTACGGCTGCCAAGTGAAGCCATCCCCGAATCGCAGCAACTTCTGAGTCCAGCTTTCTTCGAGATTGATAAATCGCCGACTCACCCAATCCTGCCTGCCTCCATCCCTCTAGGACCCAGCTGTCCAGGTATTACTCTTTTAATCTACTCCTTATTACTTTTGTCTATTACTGCGCACGTTTTTAGTTTTTGAATTCAATTTGATTACTTTTAATCTACTCATTCGATTTGTTTAAGTCCCTTCAAACCCATATTTGCTGATTAAACATCATTTTGGGCGACAATAGGCTCTACTCATTGGGTTTCTAGCACTTCAGGCTTTCCTCTACGTTGACAATAGGCTGCTTCGAATCTATGCTGATCTAGTCAATTTTTTACTCTTATATACGGAGTATCTGCTAAAGTAAACTCTTTATCCTTTGGAAGGAAACAAAAGGGTTGAGTTTTTAGCAAAGTAGTAAATATTTCATGGTTCTTATTAGCTAATGCTGGGCCATGTTTATTTGCATCCTAATTTTACACTCATATACTACGTAACATTCTTAGTTCCCTCAAACCCAAATTATTGTTTAAATCCATGGAATACATAATTTACATTGAAAGTAAACAGACAATATACATTCAGGCACTTGATACAGACATGAGGGTTATTTGGTCATTAGACATGATTCAGACTTCTCATTTATCACACTTAGTAAACAACTTGTTATCTCTAACTTAATCCAGACAGACAGCTTAATGCAGACAGACATCTTAATCCATTCAGGACTTAACGAGAAAAAAAGTAAACAACCCCTTAATGTGACACCAACAGTGCATATAAATATAAAAAAAATTATGAAGTTTCAATTGCTCCAGATTTTCCAATGTAAACTTTTTCTTACCTAAATTCAAATACCAAAATGAAGATCTAATCATTAAAATATTTTATTTATATCTTTTGGTTATTTAAAGAAAATAGTTCTGAAATAACAACAAATAAATTAAACTCTATGAATATTTGAATTTGTAAATCATAATTATTCGCAAAAAGGTAATTAATTTTCTAATAGGTGTTGTCGTTATGTGTGTTTTATATATAAAATACGTTTTGTATGGTAGTTGTACTTAACTCACTAAAAATTCAAGACTTTGAATAATATTAAGAGTAAGGAAAGTGTTTTTCATAAAATTGGAATAATTTCTATTAGCTCCTTGAGGGTAGGTAAAAATTGCTAATTCAATCTTGCATCTTTTTTAAATCAATTATTTACCACTTGAGTCTTGATTATTCACACACACTATTTACCCTCTGCCAACATTAATCACATTTAACTTCATATATTGTTTTTATAGAATAAGGGGCTTAAATTGATATCATAGCATTCGGATGGGGGTATAACAACAATAAGACCACAGGAAACCGCCAGCTCTCAAATCAGACTTTGAGTCAATCACCTTCAAAAAAGCAATATGACTCGTTGATCCTATAATGCGTATAAATGAGCCAACGACGTTTAAAACAGGTGTCACATCACTCAATCCTAATGCAAGAGTCTTATAACAATAAAAGTAATCAACAAAAAAATAAACAGTCTGATCATGATAAATAAATAGCAAACAAACAGTAAAATTAAAATGTTGTTTCCAAACCCTAAACTCTCCTGAACTCCATGGCGGCGGTTCAGGAGAGGAACGGTCCAGCAGTACTGTAGCTTCTTCCTCTTCTTGTCTCTTATTCATCATGTTCTCTATCAAGTCTCCTCTTTCACCACCTAACACGAATGATCTCAAATTTGGATCTGTTCCAGCCCCTAGCACCAAGCTTCTTTCATGACCTTTTGATCTCAACCATGAATGAAATCCTCAAAACTCTCCACCTGCTACCAGGTGTGCATAACCTTTGGCCGCCATATATGCCAAAGAAGAAAACCTCGTGAATGGTGGAAGAAAGTCGCACCAGAATGTCGCACTTCATCGAAAACAAAAGCAGAGAAAACGGCCCCTAAATTTAGGGAAGACGGCCGCTGCTATGCTAGGGTTTCTCTCTTTTAACTTCATATATTGTTAAAATCTAATGAAAGTTTTCTAAAGTATATCATTATAGATAATAGAGAGTAGCTTATATAATCTCTATTGTCTTTCACTTCCTTTACATATTTTTCCATATTATTTTTCATTATTATGTAACATTAATTTTTCACTATCACTATAATGTTTTCATCTCACCGTTGAATTAAATCATAACTATGTTTTGTTTATTTTTCATTAATACACAAAATTAAATTATTTTGTATAAGGGATGGGTAGATTACTATCACATTTTACTTTTTATGATGATATCGTGTACTCCTTATATTTCAATATATACTTAAAAGATTTCTTTTTATTTATCCCAATATAAAAAACAATCTTTATTTTATGACAAAAAATATGTGATTCATAAATTTTTTTCCGTCTGCACAACTTTGAATAATAGTAGTACTCCGACCAATTATTGTGTATAAGGGATGAGTACAATTTATACCGTTAATCGCCTTGCCAAATCAAGACAAGAATAGTTATGGGGCTAAGAGAGTAAAATGACCCTAAAGGTAGTCTTACAATTTTTCCCCTTTTCATTTTATAAAATCTCTCACTAATTTTTATTAAAGTAGTCTTATGTAAATTTTTATAGAAGTAGTATTATGTAAAATCTTGTATACAGTGCAACTGAAACCTAAACCCCTCGTATCCAAAGCTGAAAGTCCTAAACTCTCAGAACGGCGAGAAGCACAATCCGACTAGCTTCGCCTGCCGGCTAACCTCCCAGACGCTAAAACCGAAGCGTTTTCAATTCAGGTACAGAACGGAGAGATAGCAAGATATAATGGTCAGAAGTGTCAAAAGTGCTAAGAAGGCTAAGCGAAAGAGAAAGGTAAAAACTAAATTTATCGGATTTGAAATTATAGATTTAATTTTATATCATAACAGGGTATTTTTGAGTATCAGGATGGGAAGAAAGGAGAAGCAGCATCTTCATTGAATTCGATGCCTTCCATGCCAGCGAAGGTGTGGCAACCCGGTGTAGACCAGTTAGACGAAGGAGAACAGCTTCAGTTCGATCCTTCTGCTTACAACACTCTACGTGGCTTTAACATTGGGTGGCCTTGCTTGAGGTCTTATTTTTTTCTCTTTGGTCTAACTATTTATCCAAACTAGAAAGTTCTTATTGTGTTGTTTTTGCTTTTCACCAATGGAATGGTCTATTGTCAAGGTCGAAATTAATTCACTGTGTATCTGAATCCAATCGGTGAGGTCATTTACATTATCGGAATTATAAGCCAGCTTCAAACCATACTCTAAAATTAATGGATTGGAGCTTCTTGACTTTAGGATGCAAGTAACTATGTTCTATTTTACCTAATACCCCCATTCTCACCTGGAAGTTGAAACTTCTGCATATGTCTAAGTAAATACTCTCTCCTGTCTTAAATAAACTTCACACTTTGACTTCACACAAATTAAGGAAATGAATTTGACTTTATTGTAGAGTAAACTCTTGTGACATTGTTTGTCACTGTTTTGCACTGTTTTGATGTAGATAATTTGCCAAATGTTGAAACCCTAGTTGTATTGGGCTAAGCCCATCTTGTATAGTAACCCTAGTGCTCTAGTTTTTGCTATAAATATAGCTACTTGTATAGTTCTTCATATTAAGATTCATTATAATGAAATACATTTCATATAATTCACATGGTATCAGAGCCACTGTTTTAGGCGGCGCACTGTAGTTAGGACACTGTTTTTCCGGCGTGAACAGTAGCCGCACTAGGTGTTGGAGCATTTCCGGTAGTGATTTATCAAATCTACGCCTACTGCCTTGCTCAGCGCACCATCGCGACCAACCCACCGGAAACCGTACTAGCTCGGACTCATTCACGCGCCAACACGCGCCGCTTCTCTACCCACGGTTTACCGACCGATTTTGCAGATCTACTCCGTTTTTACTCATCTGCGAGCGACACCGCAAGTGTTTTCAGACACCTAGGTCTCCGACGACCTAGACCAGCCAGTCTGGTACGCCTAGGCCTCTCCACGCGCCGCCGCATCCACACGCGCCGCCGCCGCCGCATCCACACGCGCCGCCGCCGGGCGAACTGACCGCCAGAAACGCGCCGCCGGTCCAGACGCTCCACCACCGTCACTGCCTTGCTCCACCACCGTCACTGCCTTCTGAGAAGACTTCTGCTGCTGCTTGTTCCACTGGTCACAGTAGTAGTTCTTCCATTTTGTTTAATTTTTGAGCTTACTGTTCCGCTTTACTGATTTGCCTGATCTTTTATTTGTTCAAAAAAAAAACAAAAAAAAAACAAAAAAAAACAAAGAAAAAAAAGGAAAAAAAAATGTCAAGTTTCTCTTCTTTTGCTTCAGTTCCAATCATCACCATCGATCGACTAGCTGGAAGTATTAATTATCAGTCATGGGCTATTTCCGTGGAGATGTGGTTCAAGGGTCAAGGTCAAATTGATCACTTGAATGTCGATGCAGCTACGATCAAAGACAAGTGGAATGACTGGGAGAATATGGATGCCTTATTGTGTAACGTGTTATGGCAATCTATGGATCCAAAACTTCATCCTACTTATCAATCATATCGCACATGCAAACAGATTTGGGAAAAAGCGAAGTCCAACTACACAAATGACATCCAAAATCTGTTTTCCTTTGGTTCCAAAATTGCTACGCTCAAACAACATGATTTGGACATTCAAGAGTTTCTAGGACGGGCTGAGGCATTACTGTTTGAATATAATAATATTCAACCTATCACTGAGGATAAGGAGAAACAACTTGAGCAAAGACAACAACTTGTTATGGTTTTAACCTTAGCAGGTCTTCGCCCAGAGTTGTTATCAATCCGTGAGCAAATTCTCTCCAGTTCTTCTGTTCCTACAATGTCTGAAGCCTTTTCCAGAATTCTTCGAGCCGCCCCAATATCTGTTGACGCATCTTCAAGTGATTCTATCATTCTTGCATCTCAAGGTTCCAAGCATGATGGGGGAAATCACAAAGGATATCCACGCCGTAATCGTCCCAAGTGTGATTTTTGTCATAGGATGGGTCATACTAAAGATAGGTGTTGGAAGTTACATGGTAAACCTCCCAGCTCTGCCAATGTTGCCCAAATCCCGCAAGTTCCAGTTGTGCTGCCTCCTGACGAATATGATGCTTATCAGAAATTTAAGCAGTCCACTTTGACTTCGTCAACATCAGGTACTTCTACAGCATGTGCGTCAAACACAACTAGCTCATGGATCATTGACTCAGGTGCTTCCGACCATATTTCTGGTAATCCCCATCTTTTATCCCATATTACAAAATACCAAAACCTTCCATTAATCACTCTAGCCAATGGTTTTCACACTTAGGCTACGGGTGTTGGGCAAGCACTCCCACTTTCATCCTTACCATTAGATTCAGTTCTATATGTTCCTCGTAGCCCTTTTAACCTTGTCTCTGTTAGCAAAATTACACGCTCTCTTAATTGTTCTATAACCTTTTATGCTGACTTTGTGACTGTGCAGGACCGTTGTACGGGGAAGATGATTGGCGTCGGGCGTGAATCTCAGGGCTTGTATCACCTCCAACCTCTTGATCCAGTTGTGTGTGTCTCTACTGAACCAGCACTTTCCTTACATAATCGTTTGGGTCATCCCAGTCTTTCCAAATTTCGACGTATGGTCCCACGTTTCTCCAGTATTTCCTCTTTAGATTGTGAGTCGTGTCATCTTGGAAAGCAACCTCGTCAGTCCTTTCCAAGACGTGACAATAACAGGGCTGCGTCCCCTTTTGATTTAGTTCATACAGATGTATGGGGTCCGTATCGAGTCAATTCTACCCTAGGGTTTCGTTATTTTGTCATTTTAGTGGACGACTTCTCCCGTCACACGTGGTTGTTTTTAATGAAAGAACGTCTTGAATTGTTTCATATCTTTCAAAAGTTTTGGGCTGAAATTCACACCCAATTTGGGCGTTCTATCAAGATTGTACGTAGTGATAATGCTAAGGAATTTTTTACCAGTCGGTTGAAGATTATTTTATTGTGAATCAAGTTTGTCTGTTTTGTCTGTAATAAGTTAGATGTTTACTATTTCTATTCCGTACTGATTAAATATATCTGTTGGAATAGTATACAATATGGGCCAAGTGTTAGGCCCATACTCAGGCAAGAAGCCTTTGTACGCATACCTGAGCCTCGCCTATAAAAGAGGGAGAAGGACTCAGGTTTGCGGTTAACTTTCGTATCTGCTCAAAATAGCCTTAGCGCTTATCATTCTTGTACGAAAGATTCACGGTATATCAGAGAAGGTTTACACTTGATCTTCATCTTTATTGTTAATCTTTCATCTGTATGCCATATTATACTGTTGTTATAGAAAACAGGGACTAACAAATGGTATCAGAGCCGATCGAGAGCTGATCAGAAGAACTATCTGCGAAAGACTTTGTTTTTGTAGAATAGCGAGTTTATCATCTGTAATCTTATTTCTGCACCAAATACTGTAAGAGTTATACTGTTAGAATCGCGTTCAAAGACGATCAAGCAGTATATCTTCCTTTTTCGTTTCTGCGTATTTTCTTCAGAAGTAAACTCGCACCCATGAACTCGCACCCCTCGTTTCTCTAAGCTCTGTGCAGCTTTTTGACCTGAAACTTGGGTAAAAGGATCTCTACAACAAGGGCTACAACCTACCATATTTGTTTTTCTGAAAATATGAAGTTTTATTTTTTCAGGAATTCGCATCCCAAGGTGTTATTGCATAAACTCGCAGCCTGTAAACTCGAGTTGAGGGCTCAGGGTTGGTTCTTTCAAATTAGTATTTTTTTGATTTTCCAAGTTCCATGTTTATTTTTTGTCAAACTAGAGTTTAGAGCCGCAGACAAGCTGTGCATCAGCATGTGAAGATGTCCGCCAGCCATTTTTCCTTTGAGGTGAGTCAAACCACGGATCTTTAGTTCATCTAGCTGTTTGAGCTTATCTGCGGTTCTCCAAATTCCCTTTCTGATTTCCTCTTGAAAGGGGGCATTTATTCTGATGTTTTCCCAGAGCTTTTCTTTTGGGGGCAACTTGCTTGCTGTTTGTCTGATGACGGATTCTAGCTCCCTGGGTATCTTTTTGTAGTCCTCCCCTTCTTTGAGTTCCTCTTCATCAAGGCGTATGATGTCTTCTGCGCATTTGGCCAGTAACTCTCTCAGCCACCAATTTCGCTGCATATCCTCTGTCTCAGCTTCGCATCTAAGATCATCCCACTCTGTCCACTTTCTCGGCCAAACGTCATGTACCACAACATCCTCGAGTGCATCGTGAATATCTTTGCCTTGGGGAATGTAAGGGACTCTCAGCTGTGGTGATTTTTCTCGTGAGTCACAACCGGGTTCACTAGGATTGCCCGTTGTCATCAGGTTAGAACTGAGTTCTGGCTGATGGCCTGACTTGACAGATGAATCAGAGATAGCATCGTCAGGACTTCCATCCCCTCCTCGGACGGTATCCTTTGGAGACACGCCTCGGGATGTTGTCATCGATTTCGAACTGTGTTCTGATCGATGGCCTGAGCTTTGTGATGTACCAGAGGTAACCACTACATGACTTCCATCCCCTCCTCGGACAGTATCTCTAGGAGATAAGCCTCGGGATGTTTCGTCTAGCTCGACCAGGCTAGAGAGTTGGGCTTGGTTGTGGCTCGAGGAAGGTGGTGGTTGGTTGGTGGGCTGGTTTGATGAGGTGTTTGGCTGGGGTTCATGGCTGGTAGAGGCTGCTTGCTCAAGTGTCCGAGGCCTCTTGTTCTCCCCCTCATGAGGTTCCGAATCATCGGGATCCTCATGGGAACGTTTAAGACCTCGGGGACTGTCACGGCAAGTGCCATACTGAGGGCGGTCGTGTTTGAAGAAAACTTGGAGAAGGTCGCGCTCGAAGGGTGAGAGGTGACAAGTGTCGACCTCCAGCAACCGAAGAAACAGGAGATCGGCAAGCTCAAGGCGGGATAGGTGGAAGGGATTGGTCGAGGCAGAGGGCGATACCAGTTCCGTATCGTGGGTTCCCCGAGAGAGTGAAGGGCTAAGTGGTTTGGTGGATGTGATAGGGATGACAGGAGTGGGTTGTGGAATTGATTGA